AGCCGCTGTTGTAGCTTGGTGAGACAAGTTAATTCCTTCAGCTAGCACACAGCAATCCACATTTGGTAAACTTACTTACAAGTTGTTGTAGCCTTCTGAAGGATGCATAACCTTAAGACTTACTTATAATAAAATGATTATAAAATGGAGAAATTCTTTTATGGATTCAGGGTGATGCTGGTGTTACTGGTCGAAAGATCATTGTGGATACCTATGGTGGCTGGGGAGCCCATGGAGGTGGTGCCTTTTCTGGCAAAGATTATACAAAGGTGGACCGATCAGCTGCCTACGCAGCCCGTTGGGTGGCCAAGTCTCTTGTGACAGCCGGGCTCTGTCGCCGTGTTCTGGTTCAGGTATAGTCTGTTGTGCATGTTGCTTTGCTCAGAAACATATTTCCTTTTCAAATTTACCTTGAATGCACATCATACAAGACACTAGTCGAAGCAGTCTTGGTGATAGCTTGGGGTTGTAAAACGGAAGACCCTGATGTGCTTGGTTCAAGACCACTGTAATGTCACAGCCTATCATCTCCTTGAAGCTGGAAATTTTCATTGAGCTTTCATTTTATTGGCTGTTATTCTGGAGACTTAAACCCTCTGACACCCACTGTCATGGAAATTAACATGGGTTGATTGGGTAATGGGGAAGAAAGTTATCCAGAGATCTTAGCATTTTCGGAGTTTTATCTTTTTTTTTTTTTTTCCTACAAATACAAATTATGCAAAGTGGGAAGTGAAGGAGAGGTCTTAGTTCTCCTAAGATGAATGCTTTCTTCTGTTGCATACTGCTGCCCACTGAGATGCCATGTTGATTTGCTAAATATGTTATCTTTTTTTTGCCATAGGTTTCTTATGCCATTGGGGTCGCGCATCCATTGTCCATTTCACTGTTCACTTATGGAACTTCCGAAAAAACAGAGAAAGAGCTGCTGGACATTGTGCACAAAAACTTTGATCTTCGGCCTGGAGTCATTGTCAGGTATAGAAACACACAAAAAGGATGTTGGTGATCACACCCTAGAAACAATTTGTTGCAAAACCAGTAGAAGTTGCAATGTAAGAGTCAGTCTCTTGAACTAGCATAGGATTGTTTCATGCAGTATAAAAGAGACTTTCTGTCATTCTGTCAGTCTTCACAGTTGATACTCCATGCATCTACTGACGTGCCATATCTTTTAAGATAGATCTTTTTAAGATAGCAGACCTTTTAAGACAGCATATCAAGCAGATGTACTTTTCAAGTTTCATATGAAACATATACTTTCAGCATTTGGCCTGATGTAGTAGGTGGAATTCAAATAAAATAACATTTGAATTCCAAGATTTTTAAATTACTTTACTGTGAAAAAATATATTTTTTGTTTTACAAAAGGAACTGAAAGTTATTTTATCTTTCCCATTAAAATTAGTAATTCTTAATAATAGTCTTTTCCTGAGGCCTAAAGTACTTCACGTTTAAGTTTTGTTGTCACTTTTATTGCTCTCTATTGGACACGTTCACTGGTATGCTTGCATCTCCAGAATATGCCTGCTTGCTTAAGGGTGTGAAATGGAAAATAAACGTCAGGATTTTAATGGTAGTTACCATGAAGTATCTTAACGTGAAGAATTTTCTCTGCTTTTTATTATACACACAGGGATTTGGACCTAAAAAAGCCCATTTACCAGAAGACTGCCTGTTATGGTCACTTTGGAAGAAATGAATTCTCATGGGAGGTGCCTAAAAAACTTGTGTTTTGATATTAGCAGTCATCCTTTGAAAACAAAAAGGAAGAGGAGTCCACTAATTATGAGGGTGCTCCCAAAAATCAAATCTGACAGCTTTGTATTCAGCAAAAGGAATTTTAGATTTTAAATTGAAAGAAAGAAAAGGATATTTTCTAGGAAATTGATTATTTTTAGCCCTCAGTGTCTTTCATTATCTAAGATATAAAGACAGTCTGGGTTTTTTTTTAATGAGCGTAAGACAACAAAATACAGTTTACTTTTTATTGCTGCTCTGTTGGTTCTTTTGATAAAAGCAAAGTATGACTCAGGTACACAAACCAACGGCTGACCCTCAAACCTGTCATGGGCAAAGTCAAGATGACTTTCCCAACTCTGACTAAGGATCAGCAGATCTCTTGCTTCTAATTAGACAATGAGAAATTCTGGGGTCCAATTTCCTTTCTGGAGTTTGCATTGCATACAGCTGGGGGTTGATTTGATGGGAGAAGGCTGAATATCACGTAACTGTATCTCAGCCTCTTTTGTAGATGTTAACATATACATAATATTTAAACCACCTTCATTGCATATGTGCTATTACCATTGTGTTTCAATTACCTGTGTTTTTGAAACATAAGTGTTCTCCTTTAAAATATCAATCGGTGAATAAAAGGCTTTTTCCTACCATGTATGTAAAGGTGCCTCTTTTCCTATTCCTTTTAATGTTAAGGTCCATCTCAACTCAGCCACTTACACTCTTGAAGGACTTTAGTTTACCAAGGTAATTGGCTTTTATTAGATTTTGGAACTGTGATACTAATTTATCTTTCACTACCTGTGTGATCTCTGTTTAGTTCATGTGATTAATAGAAACTTGGTGAAAAATTATTAGCTTCTTATTTTTAACTCTTAGGTTTATGCTATTCAGTATTCTCTCATAATTTTTGCTCCCAAACTGTTAGGTTTATTGCATGCCTTACTGGGTTTGATGTTCTTGTAGAATAAAATAGTGCATAGAAATAACTGCAAAGCATCAACAAATATGTATAGCATGAGGTTAAAATTTGGGCCACTATCCTCCCCAGCGGTGTCTCACCCAAGAACTAGCCGCTAGATGGCTGTGTGTCCCACAGCTGTGGGAGCCAGTTTGTCCCGAAAGCATGTCCCTGTTTGTGCCAGCATTCAGCTACTAAATCTGGGTACCAATACCCTGTTACTCCTGATGCAGATAGTGACGTGCATAAGTGGATTGGATATGATCTAGACTGAGGACTACTTTTTGCAAAGGACTATGGATTAATCCCAGGTTTGTTTAAATTGGGAGGGTGTTGAGATCACATGTATCCTCTCTAATCAGCTTGGTTTGTCAATAGGCAAAAAGGATGAACGTAATCCGGCAATACAAGGGTTACATACGTGTGACCCCTAAAAGTCACCTAAACCTAGCTTTGTGGTGTTAAGCAGCATCCTGTTAAATCTTTTACACTGGAGAAATGCTGCCACCCCATGTTTCTTTCCACTTTGAACAGTGTCTTCCAAACAGCTGTTGAGATGGAGAGTGCATGACTGTGATGATCATGAAAGAAAAGCTGCCATTCATTCTCTTCAACTATGTCACAAACACACAGACTTCCATTCAAGCCAGAAGTTGCCCCACTTTATTAACAATGTGTAAGTGGAGATGAACAAGTAGTAGGTTTATGTGTAATCCTCCCCTGGACTTACAGCATTAATCAGTAGCCCTCATTAGACATCTGGATATAGATTGGCAGAAAAATATCTTAAAGTGCAGGTGCATCATCTTAAAGAATTTTGTTGGCAAAAATTTCCTAGGTACAGTTTTCCCTACTGCATATTGCTCATCTTGCAAAGGAAAAAGTTGTGTGTGCCAGCTTCAAACATATAAACTGCTTGGAAGCAGGTCCCACTGGTCTGCCTAGAAATATAAACCTTGGCCTTCCTCATGAAAGACTGCCTTTGCTAATGAACTTTTAGCTAGCAGTAATATATATACAAAGGCATTTTACTACTAATAGTAGAGAAGTCACCATACACACTGCCACAGAACTTTTTTGTAGAAGTGTTGCAGTCTTACACATTCCTGTTTATCAAGACTTCCCTCAGTTGCATAAGAAGGCATACCTTCATTGATGTGATGGAAGCCTTGCCACTTCTTCAGAATCTCCTGCTCATGATGTGTTACACTACAACTAGCAGAAGCAAATGAATGAAAAATATATGATACCTGGAAAAGTGCTGTATAAATAAATGTATTCCATAACATAGCATGAAATCAGAATGTCCTATGTCAACAAAAATAAACATCTGCAGACAAAGCGAGCAGCTCTGTTCTGCTGGTAACAATAACAACCATTGAAGAGGTTGTTGGAGAGGGAGCATGTGTGTCTTGTTGGTTTGGTGGGCATGCGAGGTCAGTGTGGAGACTTGGAAGTAGGGGGTGTGTGATAGGCTGCTGAGTGAAAGGCCGTGACTCTGAAACCTGTGTTTTACAGAGGGTCAGTCACACCCCGAGCACATGAGCGTTATCTGGGCAATTGTCTTAATCTGATAATGAATGTATAGGGTAGAAATGATTGAACTTCCATGACAATTCAGCTTTTCCCACAAATGGATATAAGCAAATGAGGTTCGTGGCGCCATTTAAAAAACCCTCAAACCTACAAGTAGAAATACCATGCAGCTGCTAATACAGCATGCACACAGCAGGTATGCAGTTGGTGATATAATATACATAGAAAGTAGATTTCTGTTCTTGGGACTTTTTTTTTTCTTCCCTTTTATACTGCTGTTGCTGCTTTGGTTAATCAGTATTTAATAACCCAGAAGCTGGAAATTTGCTTTCCTTACTGTCATGGTTTAAACCCAGCCAAGTAGCTAAACGCTGGGTGCTACAGGACGTAGAGCACATCCCGTTGCTCCAAATCAGTTTAGCCGTCTTTTGATGTATCTCTTCTTGGAGAAGAGATACAGGGTTGAGTCCTGTAGGTAAGGCATAATTATGTCCTCTATATGAATGTGCAATGTGCCTGTGAGAAAGAGAAACAGACACAGACAGAAGGGGGAAGGTGGGCAAAGAGCAAGAGCATTCAAGAGTGTGCATACACTAAACATGTTTACAGTAAACCAGTTAATCTGAAAGCCAGACTGCCTCAGTGCTGTATTGAGAGACCTCCCCTTGCCTTCCTAAAAACCATGCTGTTGAAATCTCTGCTGGCTTCCCAGCAAGTTGAGCAATATGTGTATCTCCCTAATGCCTTATCACAGCACTGCCTTGGAGCAAGGCACACTGTAAACAACCAGTGACCCACCCACATGCAGCCTCTCGCCTGACTCTGCTGCTTCAGCTCTTAAGCTCCACAGGCAACAGGTAGCTAGCCCCTGGTCTCCTGAAGAAAAAATGCCATTCGGCTCCTGCCCACTTTGGAAAACACTGGGTTTTATAAGCTTAGCAGTGCTTCTTGCAGGTAAGATATGCCATTCCTGGATATGACTCACAGTTACTTAAATAGTGGCTGCTTTTCTTAGAGAAATGAAGCACCCCACTTGGGAACCCAGCCCTGGGTGGCCACAAACAGGCAGGCAATCAGCTTGCTAACTGTTTAGAATAAATCATCCTTTGCACAGTTTATTCACATTTGAGCCCTGATCACCAAAGGTATAAAAGGTAGCACTAGGACTGCAGAATAGTGGCGCAATTGTCATAAACAAGTACTGTTATGTGGTATTTGGGGTTTGTTCATGTGTTGGGAAGGTTTATAAACCAGCTACATACCTGCTTCTGTTTGTCTTTTAGATTTTACTAAAATTGGAGCTTTTGCTAATCCAAATGAATGTAAGAGTGCAACCATAGATGATGTCAATGAGAGTCTTAAGGTAAGAGGGTAGCTGTATCAGCCAGCCCAGGTCCTGCTTTACATGCACAGTCTGTGGTGGTGGGAGGAAAGAGCAGGGCTCCACCATGTATGCCTGTGCAGTCTGAGCACAACTTGCATATTGCTTTGGTGACACATGGTTCGAAACAACAGTACGTGGCCCAGAGGGGAGTAAGATGGATGAGCAAAAAAAGATCAGTGTCATTTGACTTATGTCTTTGGCCCTGCTGCTAGTCAAAAATACACGCTTTTAAGGTGTATTTTCCAGTTTTGCTTTGGTCCAGATATAAAAATTGACTTGAGAATAAACAATTATGTCTTTTGTTTTACAAGCATAATGCCGTTTTCAGTCTCTTCTATTTACTGTTTCAAATATAAAGTGCTAGATTTTTTAAATGCAAGTAAAGCCAGTCATCTGACAGCCTATGTTTTATGAGTTAGTGCCCTTGTCTTCTATGGGCTAGGCCTATCATAAGGGAGTGATCAGACAATGACCCTTGAATACAGCAGAAATGGTAAAGAAACACCAGAGCAGAGTCTATAAAAAATGTTCACACACAGCTGAGCCACTTATCTATGAAATGGTAATGAGGAACTAATGGCTGGAGTTGGGTCCTTGTACCAGTACAAGCTGTGAACTTCTGCCTGTGGTATCATTCTCATCACTTGGGAGGGGAAGGCTGAGGACAACACTTGCCAAGGAGGTATTCTCCCAGGTGTCTGAATTTTTCCCCCCAGAGATTTTAATTATTTTATTTCTATGACTGATGTCCATCATTTTCACAATAATTCTGCAGGCTCCAGCCTGAGAAGCAGAGTTAGCCATTGCAGGCTACTGATTCAGCAGCTGTCACTTAAAATTTGACTTGCTCTTTTTCTTGCATGCATGTGAGTTCAAAGTGACTGGTGTCTGTTATAATGATGGCATGCACTGGTGTTTTGGTTGTGGAGTTTAGTATGGCTCTGCAGTAGGCACATGTGTATAGGCACACATATATGGAGTAAAAGCTATTTACACATGTATACAGCAATACCCAGTTAAATATAGGAATGTGTTCACAAATACGTATTTTTACACACACACAGAAAGTCTGAGAGATATCAGCATTCAGCAGATAAGAATAATAACCTAAAGTTTCATACAGAAAGAAGATACATACAGTTGTTTGTAAAGGTATCATTTCATATATAAGAAAAAAAGAAACAATTCACATCAGTTCTCCCTCTTGAACTCAATATAATGGGAAAAACCTATCTAGCCACCATTTTAAAAAATTGCTTGATTTTTTCCAAAAACATTGTGGGGTAATTAGCATTACTTGCAGCTAGATCATTTTCAAGACGTTTCTTGTTCTGCATAAAAAAAAAAAAAGAAAAAAATTGCCACTTTCATGAATTAATTCCAAGGCCTTTCTTCTTCAACTTAGCTGTTTTTTTCCCTAACTCCACAGAAATATTCAAACTGTTTTGATGAAATGATCCCTGAGAGTAAAAAATCTTCAATCAATTTCCTTGTCTGGACACTGCAAGAAATGCTTGATCTCCTGCGCCCTGTTCAAGAGAAATGTGAGGCCCCTCTTGAAGCAATGCTCCTCTCTGCTGGGTGTAAAACAGAGTGGCAGTGGAGAAGCACTAAGAAAATTTCTTTACCTACAGTCAGAGTGAGCTAAGTCTCTGCATGTCTTGAAGGGGGCAAAGAACAAGATAAAAGGCATCTCAGCAAAACAAGGGTGCTTACCCACTGGGCTGGCAGGCATCTGGGGGGGATAGCAGCACCAGTGCGTGGGGTCCCACCATCCCCACAGCCCAGCCTTCAATGCTGAGCTACAGCTCATAGTCATAGAGGCAGCAAGACCTGCTCTGCCCTCCAGCAGGAGCCTCTTTTGTGTCTGGCAGTGGGCATCAGTCATATTTTCCAAAGAAATATTTGGATAATTTGTCTGCAGTAGCACTGAATGCCAGCGCTGTGAATGCAAATGCCACTTTTAAAGTGTAACTTGGGCTGATGGGGACTTTGTTGTCACAGTGACAAGTGATGGAAAAATTGTGTGTTGCCAAAAAGAAAGAAAGAAAGAAAGGTTTTAAACAAAATAAAAAGCTTAGTTTGACAAAATCATCTAGTGGGGCAGTTATCACCTGTGCCTGGGTCAGTGAGTATGCCTGTGGTCTGGTTGGGAAGTGGGGGATGATAGGCTTTTATACTCACTTGCACTCTGATGAGTTGTTCTTTCACTCTCTTTTTTTTTTGTAATCCACTCAAAAGCTTTCAAGCAGCTTCCTCCTTGCCCGCTCCCACAACCCCCCAGAAATGGTGGGCTGGTGTGTGTCACCATTGACAACGCTCAGTACTGCAAACCCATGTGCAACAAGGTAACATTCATGGTTTACTGCTGATATACTGCTGCATCTATTCATTAATGTACAAGTGTTCATTGTGTAATGCATAATTTTCCTTGTTATACCTTTTTTTTTTTTTTCTCCCTTAGGGCAGGGAGAGGTTGTAGTGTTTGTCTAGACCTTCACTGGCTAAGTGTTTCTTCACCTTATGGTTACCATGATGTAGCCTAAGACACCGTTTGTTTTTTTCCCCATCTTTGCTTACCAAGGGTTATGACTTCCAATTCCTCAGAAGGAGCAGACTGTATGAAGTATGTGGCAGCAGAACTGGTTTTTCCTGGACAACACAGTTTGCTGGGGGAAAGGCACTGGCTGTTTGTAAGCGTGAGTACTTCTCAGACACATCAAGTCACAGAGATGGTAGTCTCTTTTGTTTATAAAAAGGAAGAAAGTCTCTCTTCTTGATATGTGTGACAGCCTTGGCCTGTGTGACATTGTAGGAGCTAGTGCTGGGATGGAAACTGCTGAATGAGAAATCATGTTAGCTTTAAAACTGACACTAAGGCCTGAGCATTGCTGTTTCAGTTTGGGGTAGCAAACATGACATGTAAGCAATGTTTGTGGGGAGATGCACCTTTTTTTTTTTAAATGGTAAATAGCTGTCATTCTAACACTACCCCTGTACTGCACAAGGGCTGTGTGATCCTCCTGACGGCAGTGAAACTTAGAACTGCTCTTTGTCTTGCAACAGTACTTGAAGAACCTCAGTAAAATTGGCCAACACCTGCACTATTCACTGTATGTGCATACAATAAAAAACAGCAGCTGGTCTCCAGCCAGCAGTGCTGCCTTTTTCATGGGGCAGCCCAAGGGTTTTAAGACTACTCTCATTGCATCCAGTGAGCAATCTGTGACCTGAAGCAGGCTGTCTGACTCCGTTATTATTGAGATAATTTAAAAATAGATGTGTGTATAGATACACAAAAGGGCCAACCTGTCTTTTCTATGGTTAATGGAAAATACTTTATTTTTAACAGTGCCTTCTTGCTAGAGCAGTTTTCTCCCAAGGGTTACGAGAAACAGTCCTCTAGGCACTTTTATTCCAAGTTGAATTATTTAGTCTGGTAACTGGTGCTTGTTTAAACATCAGGACAAATCTCAGCCAAGTAAGTCAACTGCTTGGGGGTTCTGTTTTTTTATTTTTTTTTCTTTTTTTATCGCCTTTGATCTTTCCAGCCTCTGAGATAGCCGTCAGTGGAGCTGAATCTGCCTATTTCCCTGCCAACAGCACCTGTCTGCGCACATTAGCCTTCAGTGAAACTCAGACTGATCAGCTCAACACGTTCCTCAAAGAGCTTGGTGAGCAAGGCATTGATGGCTCCAACCGTGACAAGGATGCTGATTGTATCATCTGTGGTTACTAGCACCAAAAAGCTTGTGTTACAGACCAACCAGCCGTCTGCAATCTGACATGGGCATTTTGACAAGAGAAGCAGAGCAGTGAAATCGTTGCTAAGACATGTAAACATACAGCTTTTATTTGGCTAAAGAACTAGAGATCATAGTCCTAATTTGACCTCAGCTCTTGGATACAGATATATAAGCTAAACCTAGTCGCATAGCTCATGGCAGAGGTGTTTCAAAGAAACTTCACTTTTATGGCTTAAATTTGTCTAGCTGGAATTAAATAAGAAATAGAATTGTTTCATGGTTGCAGTCATTAGTTAAACACAGTAATTTTTATCAGAAATCACCTTCTGTCAGGTGTTAGTTTTACTTCTAGTTGCTTTTACAGGTGCCAATTAGTCACTGTTTTGTTTCTCTGATGACCATTAAAGCAGTGCAAGTCACTGGTCATAGGCATACAGTTCTTTATTCAAGTACCTGCTTGGTTGGGGGTTAAATCCAGCTGCACATACAGCTGTTCAAAGTGCTGTGATTTGCATGAACTACAAACTTAAAGCACTTTAGTCTGCTGGTGGGACAACTCTAGGGTTTCTCCTGTATTTATTATCTTGAGGAAATCCCACAGAAAGACACAGCCTCTAGGTATACTGCAATGCACTTCTAGGAGTCAAGAAGTACCCTATATGCTTGATGTAACCAAGCAAAACGGCAGGGAAAATGTACTATCTCAGTTCAGTACATGTGAGAAGTGGGGTAGCCCTAAACTAGCAGATATTCGCACAGTGTCTCCTCTGCCAAAAACATGAAAGTAGTGGGTGTTGAGGGACCTGCATGAGAAGCTCTGTAGTTTGTGTGCCAGGGATCTGCTTTTAGTCTCCTTTGTTTAGCTCCTGTGGGGCAAAACCATAGTGGTTCTGGAAAGAAAGCTCTCTTGATCCTTGATTTGCTCTAACAGCTATGTCTGCCCTGTGGGATGCAGGGCTGCAAGTGCTCTTCTGGACTCACACTTTTTTGCACAGCCTGGGTGTATGTGACACATGCACTTGCAGTGCCTTCCTTATATGGAGCCTATAGCTATCACAAGGTCTGGCTTGGCTTCAGAGGTAAAGTGCAAAAGCAAATGAGGTCTGGTTGTAATAGAGTTGGGATGGGCCACATTTAGGGTAGAGCTCTAAGGGCCGATTGCAGGTCAACCTGTTGAGATGCTCTGGTCTCAGTGCCGTAGTGCTGGGGCAGCTGCTGGTCCTAGCCCAGGATGTTCACAGCATCTGGCTAATAATCCTCCTCGCTTTTCCCTGTTCATTTTATTTCTAAACCTAGTCTAATCTGGGGCAGGTTTGGCTGTTGCCGGAGTTAGCAAAAATTTTAGCTGGTCATCTGAATTTGTAACAGCTCTATACAAGAACAAATATCCAAGTGATTTTTTTTTTTCTGTTGTTGATTCTTCTCATGGCATATAAGACCACTCATTCCTGCTCCAATCCCCGTTCTTCTGTGAGCTCTCCCTCTTTTACACCTCCACCCCCCCACTCCCGATGTGCCTGTGTACTCTGGAAAAACAGAGGCACAGAGTAAGAAGTGTGAAGGGCAGAAAATTCCAGCCATTGTCCACAAGTCAGTTGATGCAAGTTAAGACAAAAGACAACTTAGCCCTGGTGATTCAGTTTACTTGTGGAGCTGGAGCAACAAAACATATGTGCATGTGGATCATTATGAAATCCAAACAAAAAGCTTAGTTACTGTTTGCTTGGTTTTTAGTGGAATCTGTGCTTGAGGTTTTGTTTTAATTTTCTTCTCTTGAGCAAACACTGACGCCATAGATCTGAAGACAGCCAGCTCATCTGTTTGTGTTTCCTTTCTCTTCTTTACCTTTTCCCTATTCCTGTGAATCTCAGACACAGGCATCATAACTACACGGTGCATGATGTATAATTGACCTTTACCTCATTAATCAGTTAAATGATTCAGATATGTAAAACTACACACATCTTTCAGACTCTGATGCCAGCCATTACAAGCAAAAATCCCATTGGCTGCTTTTGGGCCCAGAACCAGACAGTAATATGACAATGAGTGTAGCAGACAATTACACCAACAAAGGGATGAGTTGGCTGCTTCAATTGATTATAAACTGAGGCAGTAATTTCAGTCATTGTGTTGGAGGCAAAAATGCTGCAGTCTTAAAGAAAAAAAATGTTTTTTTCAATCACTGATTTTTTTTTTTTTTTTTTATTTCTGGCAAACAAATAATCTCTATTGCATGAAATTATAATATCTTTGAGGTTTTGATTTCCAGCCAATTCATTATCAGCTGATGCTCAAATAAAGTATCTGGAGAATAAAAACGTTCCAGTGTCATTTTCCTACTGCTGCTAAAAAATATTTTCCTCTGAGTTGTTAGGCTATTCTCATGACTTTCCAAACCAGCCAACAAAAGAAAAGAAACCCAGTACTGGATTTCATAAGGAAATAAAACCCATTGCTCTTGTAAACTAACAGAAACTGTCAAATCTGTGCATCAGAAATCCTGCTAGTGAGTGTCCCACAGTGCAAAAGAATTAGGGTGGAAAGCTTTCATTTGATGTGGCATGAATGTGATGTTAAGCTGGAGACTGCATTGTTGGACTTGTTTGTTTTTTCATAAACTTGCGGAGAAGCAGTTTTGTTCTATTCCCATCATCCAAGTTATTACTTACATATGAGAAAGGGAAGTTGAACCAATAAGCCTGTGTGACACAGTTAAAAACTGAAGTAAATTTAATCATATTATTTCCCAGTGTAAATTTGCATAATGTAATTCAGGCAAATAGTTATTGTATGTTTGCATTAACTTCAAGTTGGTTTCTGGGCGGGCATGTCTGAGCATTGGGCCATCCCTCATGTTTGTGCTCTAACCTCAGGATGAGGAGGGATTTGTGTTCTCACACTCTGTGTTCTGGCACTTAGGATTTGCAAAGAGGAATAAAATTCACATAGAAGGAAAGAAAGCACAGCTACAGGTTGGGAAGAGAAGAGATTCAGAGCAGCCCTGCAGAGAAGGACTTGGGGGTGTTGGTTGATGAGAAAATGAACATGAGCCGGCTTCAGTGTGTGCTGACAGCCCAGAAAGCCAACCGTATCCTGGGCTGCATCTAAAGGAGCGTGACCAGCAGGTCGAAGGAGGGGATCCTGCCCCTCTACTCTGCTCTCATGAAACCTCACCTGGAGTATTGTGTGCAGTTCTGGTGTCCTCAACATAAAAAGGACATGGAACTGTTGGAACAAGTCCAGAGAAGGGCCATGACGATGATCAGGGGACTGGAGCACCTCCCGTATGAAGACAGGCTGAGAAAGTTGGGGCTGTTCAGCCTGGAGAAGAGAAGGCTGTGTGGAGACCTCATAGCAGCCTTCCAGTATCTGAAGGGGGCCTATAAGGATGCTGGGGAGGGACTCTTCGTCAGGGACTGTAGTGATAGGACAAGAGGTAATGAGTTTAAACTTCAACAGGGGAAGTTCAGGTTAGAAATAAGGAAGAAGTTCTTTACTGTGAGAGTGGTGAGGTGCTGGCACAGGTTGCCCAAAGAAGTAAATGCTCCATTCCTGGCAGTGATCAAGGCCAGGTTGGACAGAGCCTTGGGCAACATGGTCTCACGTGAGGCATCCCTGCCCATGGCAGGGGGGTTGGAACTAGATGATCTTAAGGTCCTTTCCAACCCTTACTATTCTGTGATTCTATGAAAGAAAAAAATATTTTAGGCCAGTAGGTTTAGCAGATCAGACAGAAGAAATGCAAGATGCTCATTTATTGTGCCATTCTTGTCAGGTTTGTTACATTTCATGTTACAACCAGAGTAAAGCACTACCTCCCTAGAATACATTTCATGATTTTGGCATATACACTTGCATAGGTAGCAGTCTTCTCAGCTAAAGGCTTTGGTAATATTTACGGCGTAACTGTAGAAAAGGAGTCTTCCCAGATATTAATTAAGCAAAAACAATGCTGTATTATGCTCACTTCTCTTTCAGTCTTGTTTTCAGTCCATTACAATGCAAGACAAGAGTCTGTCTAGGAACTAAGCCAACAACAGTAATTACAACATAGCCAAAAAAAGGAAGTCAAAGTGTTGAGAACTGTAGTACATGAAGACAAAATTATACACGTTCTCTTTTCACAGGAACATAGCAGTAACAGATTGGGACACCCATTCCTTTTGGATGGATCCTGGGCAGTAAAAGTGCCTGAACCTGAGAGATGTTATTATTCTGAACCATTCTTTAAAGGGATCGGTGGTGTTACAGCTTGTACCAGGTCTGGCTCACACTGAGCCATGCAGCGAGATCTGTGGTACATGTTTCATTCTCCAGATCACCACTGCAGTGGGGGGCAGAAACATGAGAAAACTCATTATCAGCACAGCAGCAAATATGACCAGCAGTATTTCCCAAGGGGCCAGGTTCGTTTCCACCATGATCTTCTCCATGTCAATAGTCTGAAGCTGTAAAGCAAAAATTACACTGAATTACTTTCTTGTAAATAGGCATTACAACTGTACAGATGTGTTTGGTTTAGCCAGCATAGGGCTGTCAGCTTCTTTGGCCGGTTATTCTCATCCTAAAGAACACACCCATTTTGCCTGGCTGCAGGCCCCAGAAGAGCTCCTTCTCTCTCTCTCTTTCTTCCCCTCTCCTGTACTGTCCCCTTGAGAGCCTCCATGGAGCATCATCCTGCCTCTCCCATTTGTCTCAGTTGCTGATGATAAGATACTACATCCGCTTAGAAATGGCATTCGTTACTCTTGGGAAAGCCTTTGTCACCTTCTATTTAAAATTTTTATTTTTAAGCCCCTCACCTCTCACTTCAATACAAAAAGTTATTATGACACTGTCATGTATCAAAACTAAAGCTGAGAATAAAAGCATACGATGGAAAGAAGAAAGAACTGTAAGTTATCTGCCACTGTGGTGGGTTGACCCTGGCTTGATGCCATGTGCCCACCAAAGCTGCTCTATTACTCCCCTTCTCAATGGACAGGGGAGAGAAAATATAACAAAAGGCCTCTGTGTTGAGATAAAGCCAGGGAGAGATCACTTGCCAACTACCATCACAGAAAAAAAAACAGACTTCATTTGGGGAGATTAATTTAATCTATTATCAATCAGAGTAGGATAGTGAGAAATAAACCCAAATCTTATAAACACCTTCTTCACATCCCCCCCTTCTTCCTGGGCTTAACTTTATTCATAAAATCTCTACTGCACAGAGGGACGGGGAATGGGGGTTGTGGTCAGTTCATCACACGTTGTCTGTGCTTCTCCTTCCTTCCCAGTGGGAAGACTCCTCACACTCTTCCCCTGCTGCAGGCTGTGAGCTCTTCCACAGGAGATGGTCCTCCATGAACTTCTTCAAGATGAACCCTTCCAGCAGCTTCTCACAGAAGCCTCCCCCATGCAGTCCCCTCCCTGCTACCAAAACATTGCTACACAAACCCAATACAGCCATCAGAATGTGTATTTTAGCTCTTTCAGTCTTCCTCTATAAAGTAGGCTTTAGAAACTCTTTGCTTACCAGAGAGCTTCAATGGACACTCAATAAAGAATTATGTGCTTTGAAAATGACTACAAATATAATGAAACTGTTAATTCTGTTGAAAACTGATTTCTATTTGAAATGGTTTAATCAAACAAATATGAGCTTAAGATGCAGAGAAGTTTAGCAGCTAGGCAGTAGGGCATACATGCAGAACAGAAACAGAGCTAATACATCTCTTTAGTTTTGCAAAATAGAAAGAGTAGACCGGCTAGTAAGGAGTTAAATCATGTTGGTTTTGAGACAAGGAGACAGAACTGTTAATAGGTGTGTCTAAGGGCTCAGTGCAATTCCTTCAGCACAGGACCTACACACCTGAAAGCCATAATGAAGTCAGAGCAGTTAGATTGAATAAAAGGAGATGGCCAGGAACTGAGTGGGTTTTTCTCCCACTACAATTTCTTGACTTTGTGCTCTAGCAGTAAGGAAATTACTGGGAATTTGCCTTGAGTTCACCAGAGGAGACCTCAGATTTGTCTGTTGTTTTTCAAAGTGGGTGATGTACTGGGTTTCCATCATTAAATCCTGATCCTTATGTAAAGGAGAAGACTGAAACAGGGTTGATGCAATATGCTTATTTAGGGAAAGTAGAAGAATTCGTCTATTATGTGGGAAGCTAATGGGTTGCCAGCAATTTTGTACCTGGCTTAATAATGTGAAAATCACATTTAGGTAAATTATTTGTTGTGGCCTGTGAGGAGAAGCAGCAGAAGTCTGGTAACAAATCCTGGAGGATTTAAGTAGTGATGATCTTCGATGAAGGTTAGCAATCTGTTAGACTGACTCTCGATGGAGTTTCTTTTGGCTGCTAAATGAACTGGACCCTGCTACTCAGTCAAACCATGGCTTTCTAGTGTCAGCCTTTCTTATGTGTTTAGCTTCTCTTGCTATTGAGTTACCAGTTCAGCCTTTTTTGAGAAAGAAATACACAGATTCTGGGGGTGGAAAACATTTCTCTCTCCAGACCCAGCTGTGTCTGCCCAGCCAGGGTTGGTGTCTGCCTTGCAGCAGTGCCAAGACCTTTTCCAGAAACCTCAATTCTCATAAGGCTGTGTCAAGTTTTAAAATTAGATTAATGTCAACTCTTGCAAACTGGGGAGAAGTATGGAGGACATGGGTGAAGCTTCCTGAGCTCAGAGCCTGAAGTAACCTTGTGGCTGCTGCTTCCTTGACAGCTAAGACACCCGTCTGTGGTGGGACAGTCCGCTGATGCTGGAATGCTGCCTACCAGGTTTGCTCCCCTGAGCTGGCTGTGTCTGCTTTCACCCAGATACAAAATTGCTTGGTTTTGCTTGTTTTTCATCTGCTCAGACTGGCAGCTCTGACTAATGTGGACTGAGCTCTGGGGCTTGTTGGGCTATGTGATATTCTGACCTTTCCTGTGGCACTCGTGATTTTATCCTCTTTCCCCTGGTTAGTGGATGAAGGTAAGTGTGAGGCTGTTTGCAACCAGGTGAGGCAGCTGGGGAGAAGTGAGGTTTGTGCTCAGGAACTGCCTTGTGCTTCTTCATTGCTGCACTGGGAATACTGGAGGTGGGCCTCTTATTCTCTAATTAAATTTTGTCTGTCAATAAATTCCTTTAAAAATCTCAATTTCTGACTTGCTTTGCCTCTTGTTCCTGCCTTTTTCTCTGCAAGGCATTTCCTATTAACCTCTTGCTGCTGCTATTTTTGCTTACTCTTTCAGTTTTATTTCAGTTCTTGATGTTTGTTATTTCATTCTCTTCCTCGTTCCCCTACTTCAATTTGTTGCAATTTCCCTGTTTAGACAAGTGTCTTATTTGGCCATAGTTTGCATAGGAAATCCCCTGTCCCTGTTTTCTGCTCTATTGATCTCTCCTCAGCACCTGGCTAAGACAAAAATCCAGTCAGACTACATTTGCTTTAGCCAGAAAAAATGCTGATGGCTAATAACTGATAATAAGTCCCATGTAATGTTCTCAAACTATTAATTTGTCCTTCACCCACCTATTCTATACTTTCCCAGCACTCATGTTCTTGCATTCTAAAACTCTGGGCTCTTATCTTTTAAGCGAGCAAGTGCTGCACAGCCCCAGGGTGCATATGCAGCTTGCTGTGGTCTTTTGGGAAATGAATGCATCAGGAACTCTTTGTAACTATGCCTGTATGACAGAAAGGTTATCATACATCAGTAGCACTATATTACCTAATTTTCAGTAAGATACATCATAAATAAGGTACATTTATGACAGTGGAATCCATCCAAAATAGAAATAGGTGTACTGACAAGTGAGTCTGTTAAACTGTAGTGCTGTGCAATCAGGAGGTACAGAGGCTGGAGGCCATGATGCAGTGGCCCCTCTAAGTATTGTTTGCCTGTGTCAGCCAGAGCCAGCCTGTGTTTCATTCAGCACAGCTGTAAAAGATCTGGGACTGCTCAGGCAGTGAGGTGTTTTTCACACTTACAGTGTCTGATGCACACATAGGTCTAGAAACACAAAAGCAGTGGTATTTCTTTCAGAATAAACACAAACTATCACTGGGGTTTTGCAAGTTGTCTCCAGTCCTTGTCAGTGAATGCAGGAGGATATCAAATCTGTTTTCTAAACCATGAAATATTTTGCAGTGAATGCTCTAGATCTGTCTCCTGAATTTAACTAGGTAGAAAAGTGAAGGCCTCTGCAAGAATTGCAGCTGGAGGCAACAAACAGAATGCAGTAAATTACATTTTAGGAAAAAAGGCCTATTGGAGAAGTGGGATTTCTGGTTCTATCTTCCATTTCCAGTGCTTCATTTAAGATTTGCTTGAAGGCTAAACAAGTAAAAGCTTTTGTTGTGAACTATAGTTGATGGAAGACCTTTTTGGACACTAAAGAAGGGGTCATCTTAGTGGAGTGGACAGAGTCCTTAGAAAAATCACAATAAAATTCTCATACCTTCCGCAGAAAACAAAATAATGACCTTGTTACATAATTCGGGAAATGAAGCTGGTATGCTTCAGTAGTCACAAATGTTTAATGCAATCTAAAGTAGGCCTTGTAAAAATGTATTTCTTAGGTTGTGGTTTGCTTCACTGATCTCCTTAGCAGTGAAGGGGATCCATTTATGAATTGTAGCATCTTTAAGATTGTGGCACACAACTGTTGCTGAGGACTACATAAGCAGGTAAAGAGGCTTGCACTATGGTATATGTAGCTGACATACTTTGCCAGTTTACAGCTTGCTGCAATATAGAAAAGCCAGAAAATAGTATTTGAACATTTGATTTGAAGCTTTAACTTTTGATTATTAGTAAAAAGCAAAACTAGATATGGGCAGACAGGGTGATACACTCTTTAGCATGGGCTGCTCTCTTCCAGTGAGGTAGAGAAGGAGGGTGCAGCTGAGACAGATGCCTTTTGGTTTATCCTGCAAGAAATCTACCCCAACTGTTTCTGGGTGTTTGTTCTGCCTGCAGCATTCGTTACTCTACTGAATGTAATCTTTGATTCTAGCTGTAATGAACCTATGTTAACAAGTCAGTTATTTTTCTCTGCTAATCGTGCATTTATTTTTTTCCAAATTAGTAATGAATATCTTTTAATTTTGGAGAGCGAGCGTTACTGAAAACCTCATGAAAACCCAGATTATTTATCTCCTTATTACAACTGGGGAGGAAGCTATACCTCAACATATGATGAGGTCAAATGCCGATTTGAAGCAACATTGTTATGCATAAGAGGCTTATTTGCAGTCTACAGGAATTGTGTAAAGCTTTAAGCCAGCCTTCTGAAGCAAATAGGTGTCACTGTAACATGAGAAGGTCCCGGAGTGAAGTGTTCGTGGGAGGCAGGGGCCTCCCAACCTGTTAACTTGCTCTCAACTGTGCTTCCTCTTAAGACTTTTTGCATGGAGCAGAAAGATGAGCTGGTATTTAATTTGGCATATATTTATGTATTTCTTTTCCTCCTCCAAACTTCAGAATAATTATAATGTAATTTTTGCCCTCTCTACTTGGAAAGGTCACAAATCCAGTACTGCTGGCTAACCTTGGGAATAGAAAAACAAGCTTTAAAAAATTCTTTGGACCCTAGTAAGTGTGTATGTGCAGAATGGATCAAAGTCTGCAAGGCCTGTTTCATATCAGTGAATTGAGTTCTATTTTCTGTTGTTTCTATCAGAATATTACACTTATTAACTACAGCAGTTAATGACAATCAAAAAGCACCTGAGAGCAAAACACTCATTTGGAAGCAAACAGGAAATGTGGGCAAAGTCAGTTTGCTTTTCCTCATCTTCAGTTACCACAGAAAAGCTGCAGTGCCTTCATCTCCCCCAACGCAGCATTTCAGGTTTACGTCAATATTTTCATGCTTTTGTAAAGAACTGCTTCTGTGTAAATCCTCACTCTTAAATGATTTCTGGAGTTTGATGACTTCAGGCAGATAAGAACCTCATTGCCTGCAACAGAATGAATTTGCCACTAGAAAGCTACTTGAAGCTGTTCTTGCTGAGTAAAAAGCTTGCTAAATGTTTGTAAAGCAAGAATAAACTTGCTTATGGGCTTGTGTGTCTGAGTATTTATGGAAGCGCTGCAAGGAAATTAGACCCTTGACTAATGTCCAAACAGGTGAATGCAGTGTTTAATTTTGTGCTGGGTGGCCTGCTCCAAGATTTTTGTTTCTAGTGTTACTTGAAACTCTTGGCAATAGCATCAGGTTCCACTCCAGATGTTCTTGTAGGCAAGAAAATACTGACAAATGTAGTCAAATGGATCCCAGCAGAGTGTATCACTTGGAAAGACCCACCTGGAGATGTATATTGGGAGGCTTGGTTTTGTTGCTCTCTGAAGCAGGTAGCAGGGCACTGGTGTTTTATCATTTATCTCTTCAAGCAAGCACAATTTGGTTTACCTTTTCCGTATTCATGCTGTGGGGCAGGAAGAGGAAAGATTATTCTTACATTGAAAAAACCTGTGCCTTAAAGAAAGACCAATCAGCCAGGTTAAGTTTTCTATGAAAGCTCTGGGCCATTCATTGTACTGTACACTAACATTTAAGTGGGAATCAATCCTTCCCTTTCTTTTCTCCATCCCCAAAGGAAGGGTCTTATTCAGTATAAACTTGGAGTTTCATTATTATTAAAACAGACTGAAGCTAGAGCAAACAAAAGTTGTATTAGCACTTTTGGAAATACCTTGGTCACAGACTTATCTTTGTGACAGTGTTCAATCACTAGTTTTTCTGGTGGAGATTAATTGCTTGGTGGAGATTAATACAGTCAGATTGGGTGAAAAAACATGATCCATAGGGCTAAACAAATACACATCTGAAATGGTAAAGACTGAAGTTATCTCTTTGCACAATCATTTTTGTAGGTCAGCAGTTCCACTAAATTATGCTAATTTAGCATATTCGATAAAACCAGACAAATGATATTGAAGTTCTGGTATCTTATACAAACAGGCCTTATAGCTTTTTATGTGGGGAGGGGTTTTATTATCTAGGTGTGATAGCTGCCCAGTTAGATACAAAGATTAACTCTCAGCTGCCTTAGCACAACTGGAGGTGCAGAACACTTAGCCATTTCACAGAGGTGTCAACACCCCTACTCCCAGGCATGTACTTATTTTAACAGAAGAACAAGTCAGAAGGGCTAAACTAGCAACAACCATGAACATGTTCTGCTTTCTGTTCCACTCCGTGATTTAAATCTTTAGCCTTCAAGTGGTGAAAACAAGTGTTTCTGTGTACTTGTTCTCCAACACAACTGCCAACTTCCTATTAATCTTTAAAGATAACTACACATGTCTAGACTAGTTTTCTGAAGAGGTCATAATGGCTGCAATGTCCACAGTGCGCCCTGTAACGGCGTGGAACTGTAGAAGGGTGAATTTCTCTGCCACTTCTATGACTGTGTGTTACAATCAGACATAGCGAATGGTAGAAATGCGAAAAGTGCTCAGACCTAGATTTCTTGCACGGTAATTGACTTGAGATGGGGGTCATGATCAAGAGATGACTATATTGCAAGTTTAAAGTGTCACTTAAAACTCTTGTAAAAGCCATTAATCAAATTAATGAGTTTGCTACCTTAGAGAAGGCTGTATTTTAACTACATGAATCCTCAAAGATCTAGTAACACTGCTTTGATTTCTAGACGGCCAAACCTTTCAAACCATCAGTGTTGCGAAAATGCTCAGAATCATAAAGCATTAAAAGAAATATCACTGAATTTGCTTGTATTATATCTCCTTTACAGGTAACAACCAGATAAAATGTTAGCTATAAATATTTCAGTATTAATTGTTTGAAGTATTTTAGTAGGTAGTGCTGTAGTTTAGTGTGTTGACTTTTAAGTAAATGTGTATATTTAACTTTCTCTGAGTAAAGTCGCTACAGGATGCAAATGTAGTTTACAGAATTTTAAAAAATACGTGGTTGCAGATATTCGATGTATAAAATTTGGGAGAAGATGTTAAAGCTATACTATGCTAATATATTAAAGCTATACTATAATATAATACTATACTAACATACTATATGTTAAAGCTATACTAAAGCATATTTAATAATGCAAAAGTAGTACACTGGAATTTTGCTGAGCATGCCTTAGTTGAAGTATGTTTCACCTCACTTGCAATGTAAACAGGTGACTACAATGAAAGTTAAAATGCAACAGAAGTGTTTCTCAGCTGTTAAGTATACATAAATCATTGTGTACATTCTGATTTCTGTCTTTCATGTAATAAGGTAGTTTTGTGTTAACTTAGAGTTCCTGACATATGTCTATCAGTTTTCTGACTCTTGAATGTATTGCACAGAAGGGTTACATACATCTGTGAGTCAAATAGGCGATTTCCTGTTCTGAAATGTTTAACTTTAAACACTTCTAAATAAACATATACAAGCTGAAGGTCAGCTAACTTTAAAAGGGAAATAAGGGATTGCCTTATGCAGTACACTTGCAGATGTAAGTATTAACAATTTAGCAAATTATTTTGATATTAATGAACTTAAATTATATATTACATATACTGTTCTTCTATAATACATATAAAAGCTCTGTATTTTCCTCTTCATCCCTTCCCACCTGATGTGTTCTTAATAAAATTAGCAGTAATTTATCTATCCCCTTATTTTTGCAAGAAGACCAGCAAGCAATTGAATTTGAGTTGAATGTTCACATCTTTCTCAGTTTGACTACCTGAAATAAGTTCTGGCTTTCTCTAAACCTTGTGTGGTCCTGTAAGCATTTATCTCTCTTCTTATCACTCTTACCTTCTCAGTGTCCTCTAGTCTTGCAGATAAAATCAAGCTGCTTTGTTTGGGTGTCCATTTTCTGCTGTCAGGCAGCAAAACTGTGTGATGGAGATGTTCAGCCTGCCAGACAAACCAAGGAGGGCAGTGTCCTGACAGCTGTGCAAGGCTCAGGTGAGCAGAACAGGGCAGTCCGCACAGGTACTTGTTTTTATGGCAGTGCCTATATCACCTCCCACTTGGTGTTCTTAAAGGGGTACAATCCTTTCCAAAGAAATGATGAAGCTGTTCAGCCTTGGCCACAGTTTGCTTAGAATCAGCAAAACAATAGCTGGCTGTTCACACATGCAAAAGCTGCTTTAGGAGACAGCTGCTTGCAGCAAAAAATGATGGCCCCTTTTTAGCCAGGAAACCACTTGGGCTTTCCTTGTAAATAATCTTATTTGCTCAGAAGTGAATAATCTGATAATAATTAGTCAGAATCTGAGTTACTTAATGAGTAGCACATGCAGCTTTCAGCGCATGAAGGCTGCTGCCCCTAAGATTGTTGCACATCCAACTCTCCAAATTGTTCATATGCCCAACTCTCTTCCAGCTATCTTTTCAACAGCAAACTTGTGACTTTATTTACGTACTTGAAAAATCACAGCTACAATCAGGCTACTCCAGTCTCTGTTGTATGGAGAGAAAAGCACATAGAAATCTTTTCAGAGGCTTTGCTAAACCAGCTCTGGCTCTGGTGCATGCAGTTGCATTCACCTAACTGGCAATAGGTTTTTTCAAACTTTTACAAAACACAGAAAATATGAACTACAGTATTGTTACAGAAAATGACTGTTAAGAAAAATTTTTCCCAAGATTTTTGTTGTTTTCCTGTACACAAGGCAGAATCAGTAACTTGTTTCCCCCAAAATTTGACATGCAACTTCCATCTGTCTTGATATTTGGCACTAATATTTCAATGATGTTGCCAAAATCAGGTTCCTTTTAATATTTTTTCTGAGAAATCTGCTTATCCTGTTTTTTAGTAGCTCTTAAGATTAGTAACATTTTAATCTTACTTAATCCTAGTGGTGGTGTTATTACTCTTACCTTTGGAAGCAGGGACTTCCATTGGCTGAAAATTGAACATCACCATAGTTTGGCTGGTCAGCAAGCTGGGTCATCTAGTACATGTATGGGTAAATATGTGGTAAGTGGTGTCATTCTTATGAGTCACAACTAGTATTTAAGGTTAGGATAAGGTAGATTAGGCTTATAAAATAAGTTCATAAATGTTTCATAAAGTAACTTTGAAATAAAAAGTTGCCAGCCTAGGGGAATCATGTCTTTCTACAAACCAGAAGGTGCCATGCTGCCCTCTCATTCAGAATTAGGGAAAAAATTAGATGCTCAAATGATGAACCAATCTCCTTTTCAGGCCAAAGCTACTGGTTCTAGACCTGCCTGCTGTCAGCAGGATTGCTGGAGGAAGCAACTTCAGGTAGGGTGAGAAATATTTGCTTTATTGGAAGCTTTAAGTTCTTATCTAGTACCGCAAGTAGCTAGAGTGTATGCACAGGGCTAGCATCTGGAACTATACAATGATGCATTGTCCTTTACCTTCTTCGATGGGAGTCCACAGGATCAGATGACCAAACATGAGGGTGGAACACTTTTGCTGTGGGACTTTTCTTAGACTGGAACTGAAAGCAGCCAATTTCTTTCACACACCTGTAATCAGATCTAATTTTAAGATAACTGTTACCCCCCGGTGATAAGCAGGATAAAATAAAAAACTTCCCATATCTTTAAATGTTTGGGGGGTCCAACTTTATTCTCAGGTTGATTTTAATCATTGTAAACTTCCTAAACTTTACTGGAATACGATGAGTGGAAAACTACTATATGAGGTGATGCCTGGGTTTAATCGTGTTTCCTTGTGCTCATGGCAGAGCTAGTTCTGTGGTAGGAGTCATGCAAGGCTGAAGGCTCTGAGTGGATGAGCTGTAAGACATTTGAGAGTAAGAATAGAGTTTGAAAGTGAAACAGTACCTATAGACTCCCAAGCCTTCATTTCCTGTCTACATACCAGTTTCAACTGGGTTAATGTAGCAACATAACAGTCTACCTGGACCTTACATGTTATAGGATCCAGTAGTTTATATTTTGGCCATGTTTCCCAGACATAGGGCATTATTACTGGCTCTTTACATGCCAGAAAGATGCACTGGGTAAACTGAGGACTTTGCTCACAAGTTTCCTCTGTGCATATGTTTGGATAAGTTTACAGCTCCTGGAACAGGGAAACATGGTCCTATCTAGTATGCATTATTGTGATGAAGGATTTGAATATTACTGGAGTAAAATTAAGTAACCTATGGAGGTAGACCACCTGTAGACGCCAAATTGTTCAAGCAGAAAAGTGTCTTGGTTTGACATTAGCCTTGTTGCATTCATCATCCTAGGTAAATAGGTGTAAGATAAATTGTTTATTTTGCAGAGAATGACAGCAAGAATGATTTGCAGGCCATGAAATCAAGCAGAGGGCTGAATGAACGCCAGGAGGATCCATGTCTTTCACAGAACAGGTGGTGAGAACATATACTCAAAATATCCGAGTAATTGAATTTAAGCCAGTTCAGGAATGTTGTTTATGGCCAGTTCCTGCTCTGGAATAACAGGGATGTGCATGGCAATGAGTCTGCAAGCAGCCCCTTTGCTGGCCCCTGCATTCACAGCAGCTGTGAGCTCACCTTCTCTCCCCAGTTATGTTTACATGTTGGCTGTTCTGTCTGACTGTCACACAGAGGGTAAAATGAGCTGGTCTGGCTTCCTTGCTCAGCTTTTCGAGACCAAGCTGGGACTAACAAAGTGTATGTGAGTATGGCTGATAGCCAGGCATCTGGCTTTATGTATACGGAGGCATGCCCAGATGCTCAGCCAGCTTTTGTACCATGTCATAGAGCTTTTGAAGGAAAAAAAAAATTACAGACATCTCTGGATGTGTTTGTTACACTGCACAGCTGTGAACCTAACTGTGGGAATACTCAACTTTGTAAGTGGCTGGACTCCAGTAACAAAGTTGTTCAGAAAGCTTTCTCTTAATCCTTTAGCTTGAGCTGAAGGGTGCGGGCTCTGAGCAGCTTCCTAATGAGTGCAGAGTATAGGCTGCTTCAGAAATGTAAGCATCTGCCAAGCCCAATAGAAATTCCTACAGGGGTGTGCCAAGCATCTCTGTGGTGCCCAGAAATTAGCTGTATCTGAATCTCTACTATCTAGCTTAAAATTGGCCTAATCATGATTCTGCTTATCTCCCTAAACCACGTGGGCATTTAACTCCTGTCAGCTTCTGTGTATTTTCTTCCACACAACCTACATGGCATGGGACCTTGGCCAGCTTGTGCTGCTACCACTTTGACTCAGGAAAGAGATTACCTGTTGCTGGAGGGGCTCAGGTCATGCAGCTTCTAGCTGCCACTTTTCAGTATATGAAGGCTAAAGACCTGCTGATTCTAAATGGGAAACGTAAGGTGATTGAGTCCCCCTTGTGCTCATTCGTAGCTCTGTGTCACCCTAGCAGCACTGGGTTTTTTTTTTCTTTTGGAGGGTCTCTTCTGCGTGAAGATGGCCGAAGAAATGCAGGGCTGAGCAACAGCAGTGGTAGTGGAGTGTACGAGCAGGTTCGAGGGAAGCTTACAGAAAAGGATCAAAATACAACTTAAAGGCTTGTGAGTAAAGGGGTGCTGGAAGATCATGTGTCTGCAAGCTGCTTCAGGCATGTGCCCATGTAATCTATTCTGCTTTTGTAACAAGTCAGCAGGCTAACAGAGTAGTAGGAACTCATAGGCAGTCATATCGAGAAACTCAGTGGGCAATGAATAACAGAAGAGACAAAATAGCCACTGCTTTAGTTAAGTAATTTCCCCTTTATGGCTGGCATTTGTTTAAAAGGCAAATCAGGCTGGGAAGGAGTGACTTATTTTTCATGCTGCATTATCTGAGTTCACTAGCTACAGATGAAGAGACAAGGGATACATAAGTGTATTCTAGGGAGTCTAGCAGAGTGTGGTAGGGGGAAGCACTAAAACTGACAAACAATAAGGCGATTCTGGTTGCACTTCTTGTCATTCCAAGTGCCATCAGTGTACATCTCCACGCATTCCTCTTCCCCTTTGCCAGAAGGTTCATTTAAATGCCAGTTAGTATAGTTCAGCTTTGTACCATCTAGGAACTGGAATGTTCTTGGAATAAGAGATTCCTTTATCCCCAGGTAGGCGTAGGTATTAAAACTTTTCACGAAGTACAGAATAGCATCATTCTCAGCCAGGCTTCTTGGAGCAGCAATAGACCCTCCAGCCTCTTTGCATGTGCTCAGTGCCGTTTCAAAATTGGCTTTTTTCCCATTGGTAGAAAATATTTTTCCTCCAGCTGCTGTTATCAGCTTTTCCAAGTGGAGAACTGCAAGATGAGGTGAAAGCTGTTACTGTTTTATGCTTTTTCTTTTTTTTTTTTGTGGTCACGTAGAAGGAATTACATTTGCAGCAGTTTTCCTCCTGTCATGGTTTAAACAGCCAAAACCAGGACACCTCTGTAACTTCAGATTAAACTCAGGAAAATGTAAAAGAGAGGAAAACTGAAAAATAAAGGTAAAAGAAAGAAAAGAAAAGAACCCTGAAATGCCAGAAAAAATCATAAGAGAGGAGGGGAAAGGGGGGTATGGGAAGGGAAGAAACACATAAATAGACAATGAAATAGGAGAAGCACAAAAGAGGTTAAAGAAGGAGGGAAGGGAATGAGGAATTCCACATTTGGAAAAGTATAATGTTTTCTTTGAGACTGTACAAGCTCTCCGATACAGTTTACGGTATACAAGGGTGTATGTCAGTCCTTGAGTTAGATGTGATCTGGTTGTGATTGTTTTGTTATGTTTTTAGTGTTCAGCTTATTTGTCTGTTTGAAGCATGAGGTGCCCATGAAGCACTTCTGCAAGGCAGAAATTTTAATCTGGTAAATTTCTGACTTTACCCTAGGTGTCTTTCACTAGTTATGAAAAAGTAATCCATCCCTCCCCCCTGTTTGAGAGTTATCACTTTCCTATCTACCAGTGAACAGAACATAGCTGGAATGCAGTAGAACTGCAGAAATTTCTGCCTATTTTCCTTAGAAGCCATTTTATTGCTCATCTTGTTTATGCCCACTAATCCAACTACAGCAGAAAGTAAAGGCAGATAAATTACCTCCTTCAATTCTGGAAATCTCATGATCTAATTGACGGGTAACATCTTCCATTTCATTATCAGCCAGCGGTGGGAAAACTATGAACAAAACCAGCTATTACACACTTCGTGTTACAGTTTGAATCTTGGCTTTTAAGGTAAAACAGAAGTAATAACATGAAATAAATATTCACTTTTAAATATTTGGCCTGTTTTAGTTTGCTGCTGTATTTTAAATTGGTTATCTTTTCACACATTGATCTTTGTAAGGAGAGGGAATACATTGCTGGAGGCTACCTGCAGACCAGTGATGTTTATAGAAAACCTGAATTAGCAAATGGCATTAGTCTTCCCTCTATAAGTGATTGAGCCAGCCCAGGCAAAGAACTGGCACTTATGCAGTAGTTTTAGTTGATTTTTAACTGTGTCTAGAAACTGTTGACAGAATCCTTCAGGCTATTTGAGCACTTGCTTGCAGCTCCAACCTAACACCTAGAAACAAGTTTCTTGTGCCATGTGTTATGGACAATGATATCTTTTCTCTGTGAATTGAACCATTGTATCATTAAGTAAGAGAGATTTAAGCATGTTACTTCATTCAAAGAATTTGTAAAGATCTGCTTATTTTCTATCAAGTAGAACTCACACCAGATTAATCAAAATAGTGCTGAGTTTTACAAAGCATAAAAATGGAGCACAGTAATACATCTAGGCAAAAATGGAAATGGTAACTGCATGTACCTGGTATAAATCCTTCATGTGGCCCATTTTCAAGCATATGTGCAACACTGGGCAGCGGAGGAATTCTTGCAGGTTTACCTTGAGCACAGCATAGGAGCAGGAGAAAAGCTACTCCTAAGATTTTGTGGAATAACTGTGGAGACAGCATTATTTAAAGCCAAATGTAAAACAAGTTGGTTTACTCTCCAGTGTACAGTCCTGCATGGAAAAAAAAACAAAAACAACAACCACATTGTGTCATAATTTTGCTGTCTGAGTTTGAAGGTTTTTTATGTACCTTAAGCTTTGCCCTCAGTGACATGAATGTCATTAATGTACTACCAAGTTAGGTTATTTTGAATAATTGAAATATTTTGTTTGCTTGTCTACAAGATTCTGAAGAGAAAAAAAACCAAAATATCTCCTTCACAGCTCTTTTGTACAGCAGATACCACTATATGCCATTTTTCCCCATGCAAAAAGCTAAAGTTTCAGCCTTAATTTTACAGGTGAGCAATAGGCATGTCTGCTTTATAGGAGAAAGGCAGGTTAAGATAAAGTGGGATATGCTGTCTTTATCAATTGGTTTAAGAGCAAAACAGTTATTAAAACTTATTCTCCCATTATGGCATCCATCTTTCAAAGTATCTTCACCTCAGGTGATATTCTCTGTAAAAGTAGGTGATAGTTTTAATAAAAATGTTGAGACACAAAGAAAAATCTAAAATTGAAAGCTTTGTGATACAGTTTAATAGGATTCAACATAATTTAAGTGGAAAACTAAAGATGTTCAACTTACCTAGCAGCTCCAATATGAAATAAGAAAGACTCATTAAATGGTCTAATTTATAGGGTATGTCACTTGAGATTCATGCTGTTATATACAGGAAATGAAAAGGACATGTAATATAATATGAATTTGCATATGAATAGAAATGTCATGAACTTTAACTTGAATGATAGGGGGGTTATTTTCTCCAATAGGTAAACACTCTTAAAATGCAATGAAAAATTTTGAGGGTACTTTCTTGATTTGTGGAAACACTTTCACATGTTTAGAAAAACCCAACCCTAAAGCAGAACAAAGAATTTCTCAATACGTATTTGAAATAGCTAATGTTTCCACAGAACGGCTGTGTAAATGTTAAATTGTAAATGTCACTGAAGATAAGCTGAAACTAGTTCAACTGAAACATGCACCAGGAACACCACCATAATTTTCTTTATAGACTGAGAAGTTGTCAGTGATAATTACAGAAGTGTTGTAACTAAACAATCTCCTAATACTGGCAGCAAACAGAAAAACAATGGTACAACTGCATCACATGTGGAGGTAATGGCCACATAAACACTTATTTAAATATCTTACAAGATACTCCAGGGGAAGTTTATATATCATAAATAATTTTATCCAATAAAACAATGACCTTTCAGTGAAAGGAAAAGCTGTTCTAAACCAGTTTTGTAAGTACAGAGGCCTCACGATACGGAGCATTGCTGAAATGCAAATTCATTGCCATGTATTTTGAAGATATTCTGAGCTAAGAGTTGTTTCTATTTAATGGAGACTTTCAAGAAAATGAGTTTGAGGCTGTCTTCCAGTTCAACAAGTGTAAGATGTGGTCACATCATCCTTGTGGTGTCAGACCAGCAACCTCATGTTGCATGCAGCAAGGCTAAAAGCTGAGTCAGTTGAAGAATAGGTGCCCTGAGATTAGGTGGAGAATGTGAGCAATATCCATATTAGTCTAAAATGCGACTGGATCTAAGCAAGCCTAGATCACCTCCACAGGCTCTCTGCACCTGTACCTTGCACTTTCATACTTACCTCAGCAGCTGATGTAGAGTCCTTTGTCATTGTTATTGTGCCCACAGAAACCTGATTAATTCCTGCAGCACTGTGTCTTGGGTGCCCTGGAAAAAGCACCAGTCCTGCGAAAAATAAATGAGCAGTACCCAATTGCATGTAAGCTAACAGAAAAGGGCTGTTTCAAATTTGTATGAGTAACCTTGTTTAAAGTTTGTTAAATTTCAAGTTTCTTAGCTTTTGAGTGTTTGAGTTACTGCTTTTAACATTCTTTTAGCTGAAGTTTTTGAACTGTTTTATTAAAAAAAAACAACCCAAAACCAAAACTGAACAAAAACCAACCAAGCAACCCCCCCCCCCCCCCGCCAAAATAACCCAGAACGCAAGACAAGCTGTTACCTGGTATCTGCAGGAGCCTTAGAATAGGTCACTGCAGAACCTGGGTCTTTGTAATTTTTAGGATTGCATCTGGAAGAAACTGCATGTGAGGGAAGTGTGAGAAGAGGATGAGGCTTAGCATCCATTTCACATGCTGACTGATGGCCTGGAAAACCTGGAGGGTGACTGCAGTTTTGTGTGATAGACTCCTGAGAAGAGCTGATGTAGATTTGATAAATTCTAAACTTCTCTTGATTTTCATCAGCGTTTTGATAAGACAGAGCAAACTAAAATAGATACCTAAACATTCTTGCATTTATACTATGCTTGTTTATAATTGTCTAATAGAATATTCCGTATAACTGTCATAACTTGTAAACTGTTTTCTTTTGATCTGCATCTGACAGAAGCGCAGAGTCAAGGATACAGATCTGATAAAGAACAAATGAGATTTGAGTATTGAGGCAACCTTTCTGTGTTTGCACGTTTATAATCAAGAGGTTTATAATTTCAATGCTAGTTTAGCAAATAAAGGATGTTCTGAGACCAGGTTGTGTTGCACAATGTGGGTAGGGAAATGCAAAACATGCTAAAGACAAACACTGGTCAACACTCCTTTCTTGACTCTTTTGAGAAATACAGACACTAGACTTGAATTTCGGATTATGAAAGTGGGTGTGTGTTTCTTCCATGACCCTATTTATTAGCCATTCCTTTGTATACTTAACCTCCTGAAAGTTTTTTTTTTTTCCTTCATAGTGCTAGTCATACCTCAACCTTGAAAATTCTTTCATTTTTCTCTGTACTTAAATGGCCCCAACTCCACTCATATTTTCTGTTCACATTGATTTTATGCTGTTGTGCTGTTGTTTCCCTCCTGTCTTATTGCTGCCTTGTCCTGTGCTTTCTACATTTTCTTTTCTGTTCCAAATCATTGTCCCAAGCAACTCACTTATGCCCTGAAATATCAGGAAAAAACAGGCAGGACCCTAGTGTCCTCCCTCTCTCAGCAGAGGGCTAAGGCTAGTTTTGCTGAGCTTTAGAAACAGGAATCAAAGAACTCATCAAGATATGGACATCTGGGATGGCAAACTTCACCATGGCTTTTTCTTTTTTCTTAATGAACAGTATTTACCTGTAGTCAGTGTGATCAGTGCTTGTAAATGGTGCTGTCACCTTGCTCCACTGATTTAAGTTATGTGTGAAGGATTCACGTGAAGGTCACTAGATTGTCTCTGATATAGCACTTGATACAGCTAAACTGGAAAACACAAGAAGAGAATGTTTTGTATTTATAGCAAATACAAAGCAAGACAGTATCTCTTCAGTAGCTGTTAATAGCAAAATAGCATTCTAATGGGAGAGAGAGAAAAAAACCCCTCATGTTCATGAACAAGATGAAACTAGTTTTCCATATATTCTGCAGTTGTCCTCCATTATCTGTGGAAGATGATTAAATTGTTCACTATAGTCTTTGCTACCATAACTACCATTGCTTCATCCTCCTCAAGGGTTAAGGTACCCTTGCTGTTTCATTCCTTTTGGCTTCTGAGCCACAAGGGCAGAGATGAACGAAAGCTTCATTCCAAGTTTCACCTGGAATCACACCTGGCTTACTACACTTGAGCACCTGGCTTGGGGTGTTCCCTAAAGCACAGGTACAGGCTGGGCAGAGACTGGATTGAGAGCAGCCTTGAGGAGAAGCTTAAGAGGACCTGGCAGTATTCACCAGGTTGGACAGGGCTTTGAGGAGCCTGGTCTAGTGGAAAGTGTCCCTGTCTGCGGCAGGGTTGTTGGAACTAGATTACCTTTACAGTCCCTTCCAAACCAAACCATTCTGTGATTGTATGAAATTTTGCCAAACCCTGATTTCCTACCAGGAGAAGAAAATAAAATTCAAGTCCCCTTCAAGGGGACTTCAAATAAAATTCAAGTCCCCTTATCATTTTTAAAGGTGCTCCTCTCATTCCGAAGCATGATTGTGCTTTAAACTCAGGTATGTTTGTATAGCTGTCAGTTAATATGATTTTATAAGAGTACTCCTGATAATGAAAATCACTTGCAGTTTGACACTCTTTGTGGTCCAAACAACCATGTCTGTTATTCCATTACACAATACTCCCAAGAACATTGTTTTCCTCTGGTTCATAAGAGTTCTAATTCGGCCATTAGTATTTCTACCACTTCTTAGTGTGGTTTCAAAACCAGCTAACAAATTTCCTGGTGGCAAATATTCTTTCTCCCATTTGCACTTAGTGTTCTTATAAAGAAAAGCTGCAAATAAATGTAAAATGTATGATTAACCTTTAGCCGACATATTTGCAGCGCTGCTAGGATCATACTGGCAGCAAGTACTGGTATTTTTCCACCATATATGTTATGGGAAAAAATAGAGAACATAATTATTTTTATAAATTTGGCTTCAAAAATAATAATGAAAAAAGGAGACACTGGGCACAATTTAGAGGAGGTAGCCCTGCCAGCCTGTATCACATCCTGCTAGTTACTATGTTCACTGGTGTTGGATTTGAACTCATCTTTCCCAGGAACAATGGGACTTGTGTTTCTTTTAATCAAATTTCTATAAAAATCAGGAAACCACAGAAAAGTACTTAATTGCTGTAATTGAAGGTCCATTTCTTTACATGTGGTGGGGACTGATAGGGCTGGGAGACTGGTTTTTGACTGCTCAAAATTGCTAATAGACTTTCTAAGTTAAAATGCCTAATTAAATTATACAGTTATAAAAGATATCACTCTAGACCAGAGCAAATTCACTCTGAAATCAACATCCATCATTTTTATGGTTAGAAAAACCTCTCACTGTTACATATATTGTAATAAAAATTACATTAAATTTCTCTTACGTGATATGCAGGTCATTTGCTTCAGAAGGGACTGAATATTTGTGACCTTGTAACTTGTACTGAGACCTTAAATATCAAAATCAGCTTTTATAGCATTTGAGAAGTGAATAAGTTATTTCCTGAGTTAAAGATCTTACTGTTAGATTGCTTTTCTGTAGCAAATTATTATAAATTAAAAAAGACTGACCTGGCTTTTTCCTGGTCTGGTCATTGTGCACCAGGGATTATTTTAGCTCATTGCATTTCTAAGGAAAGATTTTATCAAAATTATTTATCCTACAGTAACAGAACAGAGAAAAAATTGTGTTTCTTCTTGTGCCTCACCTCTCTGTCCATGTAAGAAAAAATAAAATCTGTTAATGCATAAATGCATAATCCAGATCTTTCATGAAAAATAGACTAAAATGCTATTAAGTGCTTTAAGCAACACTCCAGGGTTTAAAATGCTGGGGTTACACACACACACGAAAGTCATCTAAAAGACTAAAATAATGATTTCTGGGTATTTTTCTGTTCCTCTATGAAACTGCAAAGAACAACCAAGTAACATTCTACTGAGTATGTAGCTTCACAGGATTTTAATTATCACATATGAATCCCATGAGACAAAAATGCTTTCCAAGCCTGTTGGTAGAATGTTACTTTTATTAGGGGATTTTATTTCTTCCACATATGATGGTTGACACTAGACTTTTTTTGTTTATTTCGCCCTCTGAAGTTCATCAAAGTTAGGAGATAAAATCCATGCAAAAGAATGTGGGCATGTTTTTATAAACAGGCAGGACCTCCTCTTGATATTTTCAATATCAGGCCTAGTGAAGACTTTGGACACAGAATAAGGAGGGCTGCTCCAGAAGGGTGTAAGGGGAAGGCTAGAGCATAGCAAGAGAAGGGCTGATTATGATGTTATGTGGAGATATTCTATGAAAATAGCCAAGGTGTTTCATTCAATTACCTCAAATTTTACAGAACTCAGAGTGAACCACAGAGATGAAAGTGCTGCCTGGCAGTTCTTTGACTGAATCTGAAGAGTTTTTATTTTTATGCAGCATATGTGTGTTTAATTTGTTGTGTGTTCTCCTCTCTTGTCCCACCAATATTAATGGGTTAAGCAGAAAGAAACTGGTCTTTGAGACCTAAGCTAGATGGTTTGCTGGTTGATGTAATAAAAAGTAGCTTTTGACAGAAAGTAATAATTTTCTTAACTGGAAAAAAAGCATCCAAGTGTCTTGA